GGGATTCGAACCCGCGACCCTCAGATTGCGAGTCGAGCGCCTTAACCACCTGGCCATGCCGGGCCCCGAAACGGTAATCCTACCCTTTCATGAAAATGTTTTTGCCACACTTGCGTTTGTCTTACTACCCCACACCGAAACGCCAATCCTACTGCTTTAATTTCTAAAAAAAAGTAAGAATTGAAGGTAGAAATATAAATTACTGTAACAGTAACATTTCTAAATAGAGTAATATTTGAGGGTAGTAATTGTAAGTGTTAGTTTCTATCTATACACAGTAAGACCGTGTAATACCTACTCCTTCATAAAAAAAAAAACGTTTCGATAAACTTGCGTTTCCCTTTACCGGCCATGTGGGAACGTCAATCGGAAGAAACCTTAATGAAGATGGAGACCTCGTTCTTGAAAAATTTGTTTTCATTTGCTCAACGAAATAATGTTGCTAAATGTGGTAGGTAAAAAAAAAGTTTCGCTTTAGACATCCAAAGCTGCCGAAGCATTAGAAACCAACTGATTTAAAATTTTGATAAAAATCACGTAAATTGCAGTTATTATTTTCCACGTGCCTCTCAATTTGTTTATTTCGAATTCAAACATCTTTTGAGGCCAATCTTTTGTTCCCAAAAGTCACTGTCCAAGAGGCGTTTCATTGACTTGTTGGGTACAAAAGTAAGATCTAAAATGCTATTTTAATACAAGCCTCTTATTTTAAATCAGAAATGGACAATTTAAGAGCAGTTTGTAAAAAGGTTTACTTGATTTCTATTTCAAATTTCTTGTGACGTTAAATGTTGAAAAATGACAAAACCATGAAATTAAGAGACTGTATTAGATTGCATGGTTTTTTTTATTTTCTACAATTTTCTTAATTATTCCATTGGGTGTTTGTGTGTGCGTTTGTGGTTAAGCACAAAGCTACACAGTGGATTGGCTATCTGTGCTGTGTCCACCACGGGATTCGAAACGCGGTTTTTGCGTTATAAATCTTCAGACTTGCCGCTTAGCCACTGGGGTGGGGGCTAATTACTTTATTATGCATTTCAGATGAAAGTCATGAAAATAAACCATAACAAATAATGTTTTTAGAATAGAGTCATCAGATGAATTTGCCTTTCAAACGTTTGTTGAGTAATAACTTCATACAAGTAGTTAGAGCGATACTTCAGACATTGCACGCTGAATGGTGGCCTCAGTGGAAAGGAAGGAGTAGAGACGATTACGTCATAGTTCCACGAAGTGGTATAAGAGAGCCCTGCTATCTTAGGGAGGTATGGCATGATAGTTCCACGAAGTGGAACCAGAGGGTACATTTGTCTTAGGAGAGGATTATGATGATGTAATCATCAGCACAGATAGTTCATGAGAGAGCTACCACAAAAGGATGTGCATCAGTTTGTCTCAACTTATCATCAACTTTATAGTAACAATTAAAATTAATATTTTATATAACTTTCATAATGTTGTTTTGACAGTCACAAGTACTGAAAATATTTTATCACAATTACAGTTTCACTTTATAAGGCTAACATTAAATAAACTATTTTAATCTCCAGTTATTATCATCAACTTGATAGTTTTTATTTATATATTTAACTGTGTTACATATGTTTTACAGAAGCAGATGGTGTTTCTATAGGCGGACAGTGTTACTGTAGTTCTGTAAAACTGCATACAGATTTCAACTTGTCTCAACTTATGTTTATAGTTTCATTTCTATATTTAAAGGTAGGTGGTCTTACTAAGGATAGTGTTTCTATAGGCAGAAAGTTCAACAGGATGACGAGCTCATCATAAGGTGTCTCAACATGTGATTGTGTTTTCAATGTCTATATTTAGTTTTATGTCCTAAAATGTTACAAGTAAAATAAGTATTTGAATGAAATAGTATAATTGATAGTCTTTTCGGTTTATAATTAACTTACACGTGTCATAAAAGTTTTGAATACAAGTCAAACCATTATTCCAAAGAGAAAACTATTATAACACTGTTAAATATGTCAGTTTTTATCATACATACAGTCTTGGCTAAAGTGTTTGCATATTTTATAACAATTAAGATCATTATTATTAAGATTGAATACAAATAGAATTAGCACTATCAAACTGGGAAATGCATGTTATATTAAACATCTACATATGTAATTTGTATAATGAGACAGGTTCTATGCACGCCATAAACGATTTATTAGAACAGCAAACAATTTTATCAGACACCTGTAGAAAGATATGTAATTCAGCATTTCATCTATCACAACAAAAGCTTACTAAAACATATATAATAAGAAACTATAACATAAGATTGTTATAAATAGCATCTGTAACCTTATATAAGTTCATATTAAACATTCAGTACTTGGTTAGTCCTCCTCGTACTTTAATAACCTCCACAAGGCAATGTGGCATGCTGTCAATGATGTTATTGATGTAATCCACCATAATTTCATCCCAAATTTTCACTAGAAGGCGCTACAACTCAGCTACAGTAGCTAGTTTAAGGTCGTGGTTAGCAATTTTCTGGCTCAGTTCTGTCCAACAGTTCTCAATGGGATTATAATTAGGAGAACTTTGCTGGCTATGGCAATTTTGTAATGTTCTCCTGGTCGAGATAATCCTGTACAATACACGCACTGTTGGCAGTGGTATTGTGATCCTGGAACACAAAGTTATTGCGAATCCTTGCCCTAACATATGGTAGAAATATTGTCTCCATGTGATACCTATAGTAGGTGCCATTAACGTTTCGCTGAAGGATATGAAGAGCAGTTTTCACCATGATCAATAGCTGCTCAAACACCTACTGCACCACCTCCTGTTTTCCTTGTGAGAAAGACAGTCTTCCCTCATCTGTTCTTCAGGCAAACGACGAATACGAATCCTACCATCAGCTTTAACTAGCCAGAAACAGAACTCATATAAAAAGATCAAATGTTGCTAGTGTTCTAACTGTACATTGGCATGCTGTCTTGCCCATGTAACACGGTGAATTATGGTTAATATCGGTTTGTAGATAGCCCTTTTTGCAAATTAACCTTGTTTGGCTAGTCTCCTATTCACTGTTCAGCTGGATATCCTGGAATGAATGTGTTCATGCCATTCCTGTCGTAAGGTGTTACAAGCATTCTTTTGATCTTGATGTGTTAACCTGATCAAAACATGGTCTTGTCATGCAGTAGTTTTACAACATCTACGTTTCTTGTAGCCCGATGACGTTTCAGGATTCTAGATACAGTCTACTGGAGGTACCCTACTGTTCTAGCAATGTCTGTTTGCTTCATACTATTTATAGAGAGTCGAACAATTTGACACCCTATATCTTCTGGCATGTGACGAGGCATGGCTCTACACCAAGTACAGAGAAATTGTCTCAACAAAGTGTTGATTTGTTTCGAAAAAGATTAAACCAAAAGAACATCCTTTTATACAAAACAGGTATGTATGTGTGTTTTGACAAACAAATGCTCAAAACCACTTACACAAACAAGAATAACAAATCGTACATGTTTGTCTGATCATACACTACCTTCTCTGCTACTACTTGAGTATTTACCCAATAACTACTCCATGTATGTAAACAATAACATCATTGTAGAACAGTATGCAAACATTTTGGCCAGAACTGTTGTATCTTAATCTACCGACTATTTGAACCAGGCAAATATTATATCAAAGCACTTTTACAATTATCCATTTCTTTGTGTATAAAATACTTCTCTAATTCATTAGACAATAGTTTTTGTTTCTTTACTGAATAGACATCCTGAAAAGTTTTATCAAACTGTTTTTTATACATATTGAACGAGACAATTAAGCCTATGGTGTTTTTTAAGTATCAATTTAGTATGCATTTAATGTACTGATTATTGTTTTGCTTCTATATTTAACTTACATGACACCCTTTTTCCATTTTATGATGTTTTATATGTAAAACACTTATTGCCAATTAATTTCTATAATTAATGTATTGTATAACATCTATTCACCCTTATGAAGGATACTTATTATGATGACGAAAATGGTCCTCTTCAATGATGAAAGATGAACCATTATTATTATAATATTATGAATAATACTAGCTTAACTATAATAAGCATGATCTAGACAAGTCATACACCTTTGACCAGTGGTCCTGGTGATAAATGATTAACCTATACCTAATCACGTTGGTGAATTTCTGACATGTTTTTTATTTGACTTTATATAAATGTTCTTTATAAACTGATTTCATGTAAAATGATAGATACGTATTTTTTTCTAGACCATATCTTTTGTTGTGAGATCACAGAACATACAAGGATATCACCATACTGAAATCATCCAGTATGGTGTTCATACTACTTATTGTTTCAATGGTAGAGTGATATAACATCTCAGTATTTACCACATTCTCAGACAAATTCTCATTATCTATGTGAGAAGAATCTATTTTTTATAGTTACAATCAGAATTCTGTGTTGTTATGTATATTAGACGAACTATATTAGTTCTTGTTTTCATTATGTTCAAATATTGCATGATAATATAACAGACTGATTCTTCAGTTGAAGTCATTGACTGCCATGTGACTAATGAACGAATGTCATTAGGTGAGTCTAACTGTGTAGAAAGCATACAAGAATTGTACACTAACTGAAATGTACTAGACTTGTATGAAAGTCAATTTAATCTTGGCAATCCAGTATTTTATAATTTGTACATGTTTCTGTTTGTGTTATTCCTAAATATCAAAGGTTATCAAGCTGTCAGAGGAATTTGTCCCCAGGATAAATGTGAAGAACATAACCCAAATTTTAAGATGGATGATACTATTATTTCTTTATGTATCTAATCATTAGCACCCTGAATAAGTTAAACTATGTATAGATCTTGGTAATCTATATTTGTCAAAAATAATAGTTTCAAATGACAAAAATGTGAGTTCTAGATGAAAAACAGAAAGCGGTAACTTAGAGACAGAAAATTACTTTCTAATGTATCCTTAAATTTGAGAATATTATGAATGTACTTTTAACTTTTTTTATTGTTATGTAAAGTGCAAGAATAGATAATTTCGTTTGTTACTAACTGTTAGATTCAGTTGCATACAAAATCTGTTCTTCATTATCAGGCGTAAAGTATAGTGAATATTAAGCATATTTTGGTTGTAAAATAAATTCTGCAATGATAAACATTGTACAATAAGCGTGATATATTTATGAAATTTGAAAGACTCAACTTTTTTTGTAGACTAAAACTTTTATTGTCAAGAACAACAAAATTAAAATATTTTATTAAGGGCTTTTTTATTATTATCCCAGATATTTTGCAGATTTTGATCTCAAAATCTTCAAAGATAGAAAGCATGTATATCATTTTTAATAAATCTTGGATAAAGTAATCTTTTTCTAACTTGTAGCTTTGTTAATGAATGTTTCAGTATATGTGATACTTGTCAAGTCTGTGATATTATTTACATGTATTGAAGATAGCATATTGTGCTATGGTGAAACAAGTCAGTTTTAAGTAATAGAGGACGTGTAATGTGAGAGTCAAAACATCCAGAACAATGAGGGACAGTCAAATTAGTTATGGATTTCAAGTGCATGAAATGTTTTGTAGAATTTCTAAATGAAGAAACTTTCTATGATCATATTTGCTCGACGTACTTTGGGGAATGTTCCTTTTGTTTCATTTACGGTGATTTATTCTGTTTGATTAACCATATGCTAGAAAAAGTATATACTGGAGATATTATAACATTGGCCTGTGTCTTATAAACAAAGATGTTTGTAGTTTCGTAGGTAGTATATTAGTAGATCTAATTCTTGAAGTTTAGTTAATAAATGTTTCAGTATGTGAGATACTTGTTAATTCTGTGATTTTACTTATATATATATATATATTAGTGATATCTGCTTAAAACGTATTGGGCTGTTATGAAACGTGTGTTACTTAAGAAAATATAAATGGAGACTTGTATTAGTTGTTCAAACACACTTGTTAGAAACTGATATTCATGGAGTGTAATTTATCATAAAATACTAAGCTAGGCATGTAATTATCTGGCATTTGATGTTTAGTCTGAACAGAGTAGAATTAAGTTGTTAGTGAATTATCAACTTAAGATGAATATAAGTTATATTTTCCGAATATTTGTAGACCGACCCTGTCTGAACTTTTGACCAATTGATGTATGTTAGGCACAGTTTAATCTAATTGAGTAGTGAGCGTAAAATGTTTTTGTTGTAAAGTATGATGAACTCAGTGAAATACAAGAATTGTACTCTAACTTTTTTGTTTATAAACTGAATTAAAGTCTTACATACTGAACTAAAATGAACAAATAGTAATGAGAACACAATGTAGAAAAGCTGTATGAAATCTACTCTAGTATTTTATAAGCTAAGATTTTGAAGTTTATTAATAAATGTTTCAGTACGTGTGATACTTTTAAAGTCTGTGGTTTACATTGTTGATGTAAAGAATATTCTGTTATGATAAACAGTAAATATGTTAGATTTATAAAAGGTGAAAGAATAATCACTTGATCCTTTTACGATTATGATTGTCAATTCTGTGTAGCAAAATTCATTTATTTACTATTTAACTCTGCGAAATACCCAAACTTTCATTTTTTGGGTTATAAACTATTGAATATCTGATAAGCTTAATTGTTATAGTGTACATAAAGTGAAGTTTTGAGAGATACAGAAATATAATTTCTGGTTTATCTGTCAGTTTTATAGAAATAGTCTTAGGCAAACATGTCACTTAGTTTTACACGAAATTCAAGCTTTGTGAACTAGCCATCATCTGGGATGCATCAGACTAATTAAAGAATAGGTTAAAAGAGTTTATCTATCTGTAGTAAACGTTCGTTTTTCGAAATAAAAAAGTTATACACAAAAGAAATGGTAATAATATTATTTATCAAGCTTATATGCATAACGTTTCAGTCAGCAAGAAACAAGCTCTAGATAGAGAGTTGAGAAATATCTACAGATAGGTAAGATCATATTTTTTTAGTAATGGCTAAACACAACTATTTACATCGTTCCTTTAAAATTTAGCTAAACATGAAATTATTGTATATTATTTAGAGTTTTAAATAAGCATCGTTCATAAGGATGGGTAGATGTTATACAATATATTAATTACAGAAATGAATTATCAATAAGTGTTTTACATACATCAAACTTTAAAAAATGAAAAAAAGGATATTATGTAAGTTGAATATAGAAGCGAAACTATAATCAGTAAGTTAAAAGTTTTTTAAATCGATACTTAAAAAACACCATTTGGTATACTAATTGACTTGTTCAATCTTTATAAAAACGAAACATTATGTGTGATAAACTTTTCAGAATGTATATAAATTAGAGGAACAATAACTACAGTAGTAATGAATTAGTGGATAATTGTAATATGGTTATGATATGATATTTGTCTCTTTCAAATAACAGATATATTAGGATACTATGTGTGATAAAACTAATATATATAACAGTGTTACAATAGTTGTCTCGTTAAAATAATGGTTTAACTTGTATTCAAAACTTTTATGACACGTGTAAGTCAATTAGTAACTGACGACATAATCAGTTATACTGTCTTGTTTAAATAATAATTTTACTTGTAACTTTTAAGGACATATAACTAAATTGAAGAGATGATCACATGTTGAGACACCCTATGATGAGCTCGTCATCCTACTGAACTACCTGCCTATTGAAACACTATTCTTAGTATGTAACACAATCCACCTAGTAACACCATCTGCCAATAGAAACACTATCCTTAGTAATACTATCTGCATAGTAACATCATCCACGTTTGTAAAACACATGTAATACAGTTAAACTATCAAGTTGCGATTATACGAACTAGAGATTAAAATATCAGATTTAATGTTTTACTTATAAAGCGAAACTATAATTTTGCTAAAAACCTTTCAGTAGTTTTAATTGCAAAAACGATATTATGCAAATTAGGTAATATATTAATTTTAAGACTTTGCTTGTTACTATAAAGTTGATGACGAATTGAGATACGTTAATCTTCATCCCCTCTGGTGGCGTTCTCGTGAACTACCTGTGCTGATGATCTCATCATCCTGCCCCTCCCCTAAGAAATATGCTCCCTCTAGTGCCACTATGTGGAACTATGACGTAACCGTTTTTGGTGCGTGGAACTATGACGTCATCATCTCTACCACTCCACTCACCCTGGGGCAGCGAATCAGCGTGCTGTGTGTCTGAAGTATTGCCATATCTACTCATATATTAATACTCTTATCATGTAAATTAAAATAATCCATTTAAGTTTTCTTTCCGCTAAAAAGAAACAAATTCAAATTTATTTACAATTCACACCTGCAATAAAGAAAGCTTCAACAATAACATCCGATATGATTGTCTTGTTCCTAGATGGACTTTCATTGTTGTCCCGAAAGGCGGCGCTGTAGGGAACAACGATGGCGACGTAGAAGGTGGCAACGAGTACTAGCCAATCCCAGCAAGTCTTAAATATGCCGTAATGAGAAACAATGAATTTCGACTTCTTAATGGCTGCTGTTTTGTATTCTGGGAGGGATGTTGAATGAAGTAGATTCTAGAAATAAAACAGATTAGGGTCAAATTAACAAAAAAAAAGGAAGATTAAAGTACACATGCATGCGTGTAATATCAGTGTAACCAGTTAATGAATTGTCTGATGCATTTCTCTACGTATCTACTAAGAATTTCGTCTTAGTTAACAGTTAAAACTGTTGATGTAAAGACAACTTTGAATCGGCCATGGACTAACCCTAAATTTAAAGAATAGCAATATAAGGACTGAAATGTCCATGAATGATACGTCAGTACCATAGACTAACAAGAACTCTAGAGAACAGTAACATAAGGATTGAAACGACTGTTAATGATGGTGTCAGTAACATGAACTAATACGAATTCTAAAGAATAGTAACATAGGGACTGAAACGGCCGTCAGTGACACGTCAGTACCATGGACTAATTGGAAATCTAGAGAACAGTAACATAGGGACTGATGCGTCCGACAATGATGATGTCAGTACCATGGACTAATCCGTAATCTAGAGAACAGTAACATAGGGATTGATGCGTCCATCAATGATGATGTCAGTACCATGGGCTAATACGAATTCTAAAGAATAGTAACATAGGTACTGAAACGGCCATCAGTGACACGTCAGTACCATGGACTAATTGGAAATCTAGAGAACAGTAACATAGGGACTGATGCGTCCATCAATGATGATGTCAGTACCATGGACTAATTGGAAATCTAGAGAACAGTAACATAGGGACTGATGAGTCCATCAATGATGATGTCAGTACCATGGGCTAATCCGTAATCTAGAGAACAGTAACATAGATGAATTATCGAATAATTAAAAAAAAAGTTAATAGTCAGTAAAGAAAGCTGGAAAACTAATATTATTAAATGTCTGTATATTTTCAAAGCTTTTAAATCGTTCACTAGTGATACAATTTTATGAAACGAAATACAGATATTACATTGTTGAGTTTCAGCTTGGACTTCATTTTATCCTGACGGTAATGACCGGAGAGTTGGTAAAGTACTGCTCGACTTCTACGTCGCTGATAATGACTACTCGGTAGGCACCCCTCGGGGTCTAGGTTTCCATTAGCATCTAGGTGATACATGAAAAAGGAATTTTCTGTTATAATCAGAATTTGTGAAAAGGCAAAAAAACAGAAATGACCAGGCAATGTTATTCCAACGTTAGTTCTAAACCCGAAGAGGTGAATCCAATGAGCTTGAATTGAATTTCAGAATGACAAGAGTTTATGTTTTATTGAAGTAAAATTCTAATCTGAAGTTGTTTGCAAAATTTATTTATAGCGTAATTATCATCCGGGAACTTTCTGAGTAGCGCCTGCTTGTATAACTAGGAACTAACTGTTTCATATTTTGAACGGTAGGGTAATTTGATATTATATTTTGTAGTCGTAGGGATCTGGAAAAGTAAGATCCTAAACATTTAAGGAAAGTATTTGAGACGAATTATTTTTTTTAGGATTGTTAATTTATTTTGTTCATTACAGAAGGTTCGTTCGTTCAATGTTTTCTAGTTAATGTAGTTGTTCTTAGAAGAAAATATTACGTTCTTCGTCAAGTTCCTAGTGTTGTTGTTACTGGAGTAATAATATAATTCTAAACTGCTGTTACTTAAAGTTGTAAGTTGAAGAGAGTTTATATTATGAAGATTGTAGGAAAACAACTTGTATGATGAAGATTGGAAGAGGATAGATTTTATGACGAAGATTGTAAGGGTTCAAGTTATATGATGAAGATGGTAAGAGAACAGATAGAATGATGAAGACTGTAAAAGGTCAGATTATAAGATGGAGACAGTAAATGGCCAGATTGGATGATGAAAATTGTACGAAGAAAGTTTGGGCGATGAAGACTCTAAGGAGACAGATTGGATGAAGAAGAGGACAGAATCGTGAAGAGGACTGTAATAGGTCAGGTTTTTTGAAGTTTAAAGAAGGTAAGCTCAACAACGTTTAAATATTGTATTTTCCACATGTAGTTCTGTTACATATGGGTTACTGCCAGACAACAAAAATATTTAATTCAGTTTCTTCGTAGCCATATTTCAGAAGTGTGGAACTTAAGATCAACAAAACAAAAAAGTAATATAGCCTAATTATGTAGAAATAATTAAAACAAGTATATTTTTCTTTGCTTGTTAAAACTAACAGATTTTTCTCATGTTGAAAGTTAGTTCGAGATAGTTAATTCCGCTAAATATTTCAATAAGAAGGACAAAACTTTACATTATATTTATTTTGGGGTTATTGCTTATTGGTTTCATCTATTTGTTGGAATTGTGTCGAAAAGTGGTAACTAGAACACAAAAAAGCATTCTAACCTAACTCACCACTGTCGTACGATTCATTCATCTCCAGTTCAGCAACCTTTGTTTTGGTAATATCTTTGTGTGAGGCAAGGAACAACACGACTTCGTGCTTCTCGTTCTTAATAGGAACGATATCCAGAAGACACCAGAATGGACTACCTACAGAGACATCTAGCGTAAGAATACCGCAAACATATCTTTATTGAGATTCTTTTCTACTCTGCAATTCAATCAAAACACAACGTGCATCGAGGAGGCAAATAGTCGAATTTTTTATTCAATTTTTTGGTAAAGAGGGCGCTCGGAAATTTATATGGAATAAAACAATCTAAAAAAGTTCGTTTCAGGCGTAACTATTAAGTAATTATACTTAATTACGATTGATTATTAAATTATTTACTTACTTACAAGGTTTGAATCTGTTTAATTCTTATATACACAGGATCTGTATACGTATAAGTAACTCGCTATTAGCAGAAGGATGAATAACAACATTAATAAGAATTTTAACAAACCCAGCAATCTACGTTACTACGAAGAACTTAAACTAAAGAACAAAGTCTTTGAAGTTGGGGCTAAAAATAAATAATTTTAGTTGGGACTAAACACGAAGATTTTGAAGTTAGGACTAAGATGGTGACTGACGTTAGAGATACAAATGGAGACCTGTGAAATTAGGACTAACTACGGAATCTTTGAAGTTAGGACTAAAAACGAAGACTTTGAAGTTAGGACTAAGATGGTGACTGAAGCCAGAGATACAAATTGAGACCTGTGAAATTTGGACTAACTACGGAATCTTTGAAGTTAGGACTAAAAACGAAGACTTTGAAGTTAGAACTAAGATGGTGACTGAAGCTAGAGATACAAATTGAGACCTGTGAAATTAGGACTAACTACGGAATCTTTGAAGTTAGGACTAAAAACGAAGACTTTGAAGTTAGGACTAAGATGGTGACTGACGTTAGAGATACAAATGGAGACCTGTGAAATTAGGACTAACTACGGAATCTTTTAAGTTAGGACTAAAAACGAAGACTTTGAAGTTAGGACTAATATGGTGACTGAAGTTAGAGATACAAATTGAGACCTGTGAAATTAGGACTAACTACGGAATCTTTGAAGGTAGGAAGTAAAAATTAAAACATGTTGATAAAAAGGGAAATATAGACGTTTAATAAATGAATAAACATGTTGCAGTTGTATTGGATATGTACATTTTGAAGTAAAAAAAACACCAACCATTTCTCTTGTAGAACATCACTTCCAACTTCAGTTCGGTTTTATTATTTAGGGCCCACTCGATTTGTTCTTTGTCTTCCTTGGTCGTTTCGGGTCCAAAAAGAAACGTACAAGCACAACCCTTCTGCATGATCTGAGCTCTAGGATATCCAGTCAGCTCACAGAACCCATCAGAACAGTACACGATTGGGTACAATGAAGGAACTTGGGCGTTTCCCAGCACAAAATTGCTATCTGTAATTAAATATGCATAGCTTACTCAGGATTAACACATGAGATTTGAAAAGAAAATACGTACTTATTTATTGCCATCACTTTTTAGACCGTGAGAAAATAATGTTTCGAAAATACATTAGTATTTTGTTTTTAATTTAGTAACGACTAAGAGTGGAATTTGGTTTTAGAAACTTTATAGAACACAGAAGAAAGGTTTATGTTTATGTGCGAGAGAGCACAAAAATAAATATCAAATCAAAATTATTATATTCAAAGGATATCTGATTTTATAGATATGTGATAATCACCATTAAATATGGACATGACATGGCTGGGAGGTTATACATGGACCTAACATGACCAGGAGGCTAGATCGTTCGAATCACAATCTGAGGATCGCGGGATTGAAACCTGTCGCAAACCATGCTCGCCATTTCAGCTATGTGGGCGTTATAATGTGACGGTCAATTTCACTATTTGTTAGTAGGAAGTAGAACAAGAGTTGGCGGCTAGTGCTGCCAGCCAGTTGCCTTCTCTGTGGTTGGCAATTCTAAATTAGGAGCGGTGGCAGATATCGCCAGTGGCTGAAACAACCGTTTAAATGTCAAAAACAAAACAAAAGTAAAAAAATAAATATAAAATCTTCCAGAAATTAAATAATTTATTAACTTTCTTCCTCCGAACACAGTTCCTCTTTGACACCCTTGTAAAAAGCAACTTTTCACATTTCTGATTACATTAGAAACTCAATTAGCAAAGTAAATATTTCAGAACTTTTAGAGATGTCTTCAGTTTAAACAGCAATTTATCTAGAAGTGTACATGAAAATACGATAACCACAATAAACCGAGCTGAGAACTTTGCCGAATTAAAAGTGTAAACGTTAGAAAAACTCGCCCTGGTAAAAAAATGTACTTAATTTGTAGCTTCAAGCACAAAATTTTCACGTGTAACGATTTTCGTCACTCATATTCTATCGATGATATGTTAGAAGTAAGAGTACTAGAGTTAGATTTTTTTTTATACGAACGACGAGTGTTTCTCATACTTTGAACATTGAAGAAAGCTGTTATTGGTCATATCCGAGACATCATGTTGTCAAGGAGACTCTTACACAGAGAAATATGCAGTTCTAACATAGTAGACACCGAAGATTTCTGATTGGAAGTGAAATGTTAAGAGAAAAGTATCATTAATCGCAGAGAGAGATATTTCAATTTCAAATACTACAATAGGTAAACAAACCAGAGACCAATAAGATTTCTCCTGAATGCACGATCTTATACTATAACTAATCTTATTGGTAGAGAACAACAATCTTATACCATAACTACTCCTTATTGGAGGAGAAGAACGATTTTATACTATAACTAATCTTATTGGTGGAGAACAACGGTCTTATACTATAACTATTCCTTATTAGAGGAGAACAACGATTTTATACTATAACTAATCTTATTGGTGGAGAACAACGATCTTAAACTATAACTAATCTTATTGATAGAGAACAACAATCTTATACCATAACTACTCCTTATTGGAGGAGAAGAACGCGTTGTTCTCCACCAATAAGATTAGTTATAGTATAAAATATCTTATACTATAACTAATCTTATTAGTTATAGTATAAGATCGTTGTTCTCCACCTCGTTGTTCTCCTCCAATAAGGAATAGTTATAGTATAAGACCGTTGTTCTCCACCAATAAGATTAGTTATAGTATAAGATCGTTGTTCTCCTCCAATAAGGAGTAGTTATAGTATAAAATCGTTCTTCTCCTCCAATAAGGAGTAGTTATGGTATAAGACTGTTGTTCTCCACCAGTAAGATTAGTTATAGTATAAGATCGTTGTTCTCCACTAATAAGATTAGTTATAGTATAAGATCGTTGTTCTCCACCAATAAGATTAGTTATAGTTTAAGATCGTTGTTCTCCACCAATAAGATTAGTTATAGTATAAAATCGTTGTTCTCCACTAATAAGATTTTTTATACTATAACTAATCTTATTGGTGGAGAACAACGATCTTATACTATAACTAATCTTATTGGTGGAGAACAACGATCTTATACTATAACTAATCTTATTGGTGGAGAACAACGATCTTATACTATAACTAATCTTATTGGTGGAGAACAACGATCTTATACTATAACTAATCTTATTGGTGGAGAACAACGATCTAATACCATAACTAATCTTATTGGTGGAGAACAACGATCTTATACCATAACTAATCTTATTGGTGGAGAACAACGATCTTATACTATAACTAATCTTATTGGTGGAGAACAACGATCTTATACTATAACTAATCTTATTGGTGGAGAACAACGATCTTATACCATAACTAATCTTATTGGTGGAGAACAACGATTTTATACTATAACTAATCTTATTGGTGGAGAACAATGATCTTATACTATAACTAATCTTATCGGTGAAGAACAACGATCTTATACTATAACTAATCTTATTGGTGGAGAACAACGATCTTAAACTATAACTAATCTTATTGGTGGATACCATGGTTTGTTTCTACCTAAAGGAAACGTTTTGTGTCTAGATTATTTAGATTATATTTATATACATAAAGGTTAGCGGCAAAGTGTATTTAGATCGTATAGACTATGTATATAATTACATAAGTCTGAAGAAAAGTTTGCTGTGAATCATGTAATTTTACTGATGAGCTCTGGTATTGGGCGAAAGGCCTTGTCGGCAACTGATATGGTTGATGGTTGACATATCATAACATATTCTTTTTTGCTTTCACTCACGAGTTACTAAAATTATGTGTTAGAGGAAAGGCTTTCTGTGATACTCCTAATATCTCTTCTAAACAAAATCATTATTCCGGATACAAGTCCAATTTTCAAAGAGCAGCTGAAGTATTTAAACTACGAGTAAATAAGAGTAAGTTGTTTTATTTCGAGGATAATTCGTCTTTCGTGACAAATCTATCTTTATAAAACTAGGGATACATGTATCTCAAAGAATTAAACGGTTTACCAGGAGATGTATGAAGAAAGATAGTTCTGGAAGGTCACCGATGTTCATCTGATTCCATAAGATGATAAGCTATATTTCTCGCGAAAACTCCAATCTCTCATTGGATCGAGAAAAAACTGAGATCGCAATTCCCATATGTTTCTTTGTCACGTGATTACCGTTCCCTTTAGGAGTTGGAAACACTCGAGCTGTTAATGTAATCTTGTCAGATTGAGCACGTGATTATGGTAGATCTCATAAGTAGAAGAAGAGGATGCAAATGTGTGGAAACCAAGATGCAGAGTAAGAAATTATACTTTACGTGCTGTCACTCAGAACTTTTATTTCTGTTAGAGTTTTGCTATCAGGTCAGAATTATCGAACTTGGCTTACTCCAATGTTAAAATATTTCGTTCACAAGGGCTATTTACGTCTGATTTTTGGGGCTGATCGATTGGAGCGAGGAAAGCAAATCAATAACAGTTACTGCCAACACTTGACTAATCGAATTGTTGGTCTTGACCGTCACTGTTGTAAAAACACCCACGACCGTGTGGGTTGCGTTTTGTTTTGTGGTTAGGAGCCGCGAACCATAAACTCTCGTATTCGTAGCTCGAGCATGATAACATTGGGGTCACACCCGGAAACGATATTAGAATGAAAAAAATTCAGCTAATAACTATAGTGCTCAGAACTGGCTTGTTTATGTGGTGAAACCGGTTATATTTTTCGTAAGGGTGTTTTCAATATACACAGATAATAAACTGGCTTATTTCTGTGGTGAAACCGGTTCTATTTTTATAAGGGTGTCCATAATAAACACAGATAATGAGCTGGATTGTTTCTGTGGCGAAACCGGTTCTATTTTTAATAAGGGTGTCCCTAATACACAGAAAAGAAACTGGCCCGTTTCTGTGGTGAAACCGGTTCTATTTTTCAGAAGGGTGTCTCTAATAAACACAGATAATGAACTGGCTAGTTTCTGTGGTGAAACCGGTTCTATTTTTTAGAAGGGTGTCCCTAATACACATAAATAATGAACTGGCCCGTTTCTGTGGTGAAACCGGTTTATTTTTTTTCAGAAGGGTGTCCATAATAAACACAGATAGTGAACTGGCTTGTTTCTGTAGTGAAACCGGTTCTATTTTTCAGAAGGGTGTCCCTAATACACACAGATAATAAACCCGAAGCCATGCATTTATCTACTGTGTGATACAATACCGTGTTTAATTCAATGTGCTGTGATATCTGTTCCGTCTGTGTTCTATAACAATGTGTTAACTGAAATGCACTAATAGAAACCACGAAAAATGGTTAGTAAATGTGCTTATCAAAGCTAACCTTTTCCATTGTGTTGACTTTACAACTGACTTAAATTTATGTTTAAAACGAGTCCTTTTTATTAGTAAAGAGTTGTAAAACTACGAAAGTCTTTTGAAATACTAGCCTTTTACGTTTTATAGGTGTCTCCACTGTGATTCTCCAACAGGTGTAGTAAGCACGGCTACTAAATGTACTTAACATAACCGATACAAATTTTATACTTCTGTAGCCTTATTAGACAAACAAAAACTGGCTTTCAAGAAAACTACACTTAAACTCGGAAGTAAATTGTAAGCCTGGGGTTTGCTGAGGGATAAAGAAAACAAGTTTTTATTTTTTTAATAAAAGAACTTGGAAATGATATCATTTCTTGTGATCTAAAGCCTTTAGGAACAGGCTGTATAAAAACAACCACATAAGCTGATTACGTTGATCCTAGAGGTCCTGTAAAATTAAGTACCTCAGTACCTGAAAGACAAAAGGGAAAAGAAACTTTGAAGTCTCTGATGAACAACAAGCGTTATTTATACGTTGTTAGCTGTACAGAAACTAATATTCAGGAAATTATGGCGTCCAAGCCAATAAACTAAATTATGTAAGTTAGAGAGCACGTGATTCGCAACGAAATTTATTCATTTGCTCGCGAAGATCGAAAGCATATTTTCCGAAACCGGTTAGGTTCAGTTTTTATTTCTTTT